ACAACCAACAGCAGCCGCAGCGCCCCCCAAGCACCGAACAGCCGCCCCCCCCCCCCCCCCCCCCCCCCCCCCCCCCCCCCCCACTCAACACACAGCACACTGCCTCTGTCTTCCCACAGTCATTACAAAAGATCTTCAATTAAGATTACCTACAGATGACAAACAGATCCTGCTCACGCTGAAGCTGTAATTTGCTGTCAACGTGATTGGCTTGTTAAAATTGATGGCATTATTGTATCCACTAAATGGGATGATCACACAAAAAAGACATCCAGAGCGAGCAATGGCATGGATGTCTGCTTCTGTCTGTGAAAACAAAGACATTTCAGGCTTTTAAATCCCCCCAAAAATGAACTCTGGTGGTGCCCCTGGCTGCATGTAGCAATTCAAGCCTTTTAGTGCTGATAAAACAAAACACTTTCCCCCAAATAGTCTAAATCGTCCTTAAAATGCTGCTCTTGTGTTACCTAATTACACCCTATCTGACGAGCTTCTTTGCAGATATCATTCAGCTAAATGCCACTTTGTAAATAGATAGTCTGAGGGAGGATAATAATTTCTGACATTATTACACAAGCATGAAACCTCTTCTTTCTTTTCTTTTTCTTTGCATCCTCGGGGACTGTAGTGCATGCGGGCTATTTGACATTCGAAGCCATGAAACCGCCACTGACATAAGAACAGGCAATAACGCTGCAAGTAAGCAAAGTGACATGGTCAAAATGGGATACGCGGATCTGATCGGCGCGTAGAGCAATATAAAGAAATAGTCAGCAGCCATACAAAGGGAAAGTGCTGCGTCTCTACCTGTTAAATGGAGCAACAGAACACGAGACCTTACCCGATGTGTTAATGTCGAATCCGTACGGCGGAGAAGTTGGATCGGTGCCGGGGTTTGTTTCTCCAGCTGATGCTCCGGCTACATGCAGCCCTGCGGCGGATACAAAACTCTGCGGCGTCTCGGCAGTCAGAGGAGTTTTGTTTTCTGGGTCAACTCAGGGATTATATACATCTATAAAGCAGCGAGAGAGGGAGAGAGAGAGAGAGATAGCGAGAGGAGGAGCTACCGTCCTCTCCGTCTCCTTTGTTGCCATTGGTCCTCCCCCTTAATCACTGTGCAAAGAAACATCCACTAACTACCTCCACTGATCCACCGGAGCAGCAGAGCTCCGCTCAGCCGAGCCGCGCTGTGTGTCCTGGAGAGATTCCACTTGCAGGCCTGCCTTCATCGCCCTTCTGCTATAATCCCGAATGATCCATACGTCTTGACTGAAAGCTTTCTGTTGAAAGTGAAGCGGGGCGGGATCCGTCGGGCTGCAGGCGCATAACCATCACCTCTGCTATGCTGAGAAGTCATATTTTAACAAGCTGACATGTATGCGTGGTGCTGTATGGATATATATATCATAGGCCTATTAGGGTGCATGGGTGAAAACAACAGCAATATTGAAATGATCAAATAATCATTTATTCAATAATGGATGACAAAATGCCTTTATATCAAAATGGCATTACCCTGACTGTGTTGCAACCCCTACCTTGTCTCCAAAAATATATAAATACATAACCACTCATTTGCACCAGCAAATTTGATAAGGGAGTGACTATAAGCAGTGGTAGACAATGCACAAAACAAAGTTGCACTTGTATGAAAGATATTTTTCATTAACAGGAATAATGTTTTAATAAACATATCTGCAAAGTCACACAATCTGTATCCGTCAACGTATCGCATATTCCTTACTGGAACCTATGGAGCCTAACACCAAAACAATGAGCTAAAAGAGGCTAAAAAACTCCATGGAGCTGCGCAAAAGTGCAGAGTTTGGTTATAATTCTCTGTGGGTTTGTCACTACGAACGACACTTTTCACATTACATACAGTACATTTGATACATTATCAAAATATAATATTGACAAGTGCAGCTTTAAAACAAAGTGTTTTTATAGCCTAAGACTGGAATTATGGTTTTCCAAAGTTACTCTCTGCCAATCTACTAAGGGAAGAGTGTTAATAGTAAGACATGCAGTGGAGTCTACACACATCTTGTGTAGGCTGCAATTGAAGTGAATGGGAGATTGAACATTCAGAGGGTGGAAGTGTAATGTTAAAAAAATCCATACATGTATAAAATAAACATCGAATGGACTGGTAAACTTACATGCAACAATCTCGCTCCCCTCAAAGCGTATTAGGAAAAAACCCGTATAAATGTTATTTTTAGAAGACATGTCTGCATAAGCCGAAACCAAAAATGTGATGACACGTCAGTATTCCCCCTAAATATAACCCAACATTCCAAGTGACAGAACGGTAACATGGGAGAAACCCTAACATTGTGAAGCAATCCTGGTTATATCCTAAGGAGTGTTACGGAAATTGCAATTTCCAACAGCTAAATATTATATATAAAGCATATTTGTACACTTTTCAGCAATTTATATGTATACTATGTGCTTCTCCAATATCCATGGTTCACGTGTCAGTCAAATATGTACAAATCCAAAGACAAGACATCAGGATGGTGCATTCATGTCATTTATTTGATTTATTCTGATGTGCCACCTTCTACATTAACTTGATACCAATACACTTAACTTTTTAAGTTGTTCTGCTGACCCTGGTTATCTTAAATTTAATATGTTGCCATGTCAAGTTGTGTTAGCTTGGTTCATTTTCAAGGGTTTAAAGGAAGAACAAGACCTTCTCTGACAAATATGAAATTGTACTCATTAGCAATAAAATGCTCCTTGGTCAATTCAGTCCACTCAGAGGTGTTGCTGCACCTGCCGTACTTGATACTAATTTGGTACCATAACACACACAAATCTCCGACCGAACTGTTGGCGGCCGAGTTGCACTGTGGGTAATGTAGGAAGAAGAATGCATGCCAGTCGTTTCATACTTTGAAGTGTGAAAGGCGCTTTAGTCAAGGTGGAGGTAAAGCACTCGTCATGGTTTTACTGTAGAAACATGTCTTAAATGAGTCTGTGAAGCAGACATTTATTTTTTAGTATGAATTTCCCTCGTGATGAACAAGTATACCTGGACTTACTTGACATCACAGAAGTCAATGTTCGCCTGTGATTTAGTAATTTATTTGTTTATAATCTTTAACCTCAGCGGCCACAACTAAAATATAGAGATTTAATGAGAGAGCTACAGTACGCTCCACTGAAGCATGTGTTACAAGCATGACACCTTGTTCTTTGCAGCATGATGGAACTCAAACCACCTCCATCCAGCTCCGGAGCGAGCACACACCAGCCAGTCCTTTTGTTTTGGCCTCCCTCCCTGTGTGGAGAAAGTCAAACCCCCTCAGCAGGAGCTTGGTATGTATTCCTGTTGACATACACACACACCCTCTGCTGCAGAGGAATGTGTCCTATTTTTGGGCCCCTGAAGTCAGCCATGACTTCCAGCCTCTTTCTAATGCCGATTCACTTGACCATTGTGTTTTTTTTCACTCTTTTGGGAGTACGCTGTGTGTTTTGATCCGAGCAACAGCCTCCATTTATTTACAAGGAGCAGTTGTTCTCAGCAGTGCTCGAGTCAGGCTGTTGTTTATTCGGCCAAATACAGCTGGACTTTGAATTTTTGTACAGTAGTCTAAATATGAAGCTCTGGTCCGCCACTGCTTAGCTGTGCAGAGTTTAATTGTTTTAATTTGGGAGATTAGATTAGTAGGATAAAGACAGGAAACAAGTGGAAGCAGCTAACCTGGCTCGCTCCAAAGAAATCCACCATGCACCCTCAATAATTAACATTTCATAACCGGAAGTTACTTCCTGGAGTTTCCATGAAGACTCCACTCAACCAATATACTTATTGCATCCAGTAAAGAAATGCAACGCACATAATCCCCTCCTCAAATCGTTTACCTTCGGTCAGAGCTCCATTTCTGTCTTTATGATGAGCTAACTAGCTTAGCTTAGCAAAAAGACTGGACACATTATATACAGTATGTATATAGTATATATATATATATATATATATAGCTAGCATGGCTTCATCCAAAAGTAACAAAATCCGCCAACCAGCACCTCCAAAGCTCATATCTATACAAAAACTGAAGCGTAAAAACGTAGAATCAGCGGTTTACCGGGATCAAGATCCGTTTCCAGGCAACCTAGCGTGGACTCCATGAAGTTACTGGTGGATTTTGTTATATTTAGACATTGTCTCCTCCTGTTTCCTGTCTTTATGCTATAAGCTACGTAAGTCTGCTGCTTGTGGTAAGAAAGCGAGTAAGAATATTTCTCAAAATGTTGAACATTTCCTTTCAGTGTAATTTTAAAATGCATGACTTCTACTTGTATTGTAAATGTCCTTAGATATGAGGAAGAACCCATCAGTCATTCCGGCACTGCTTTGCTGAACGCTGTCAAATGTTGTCAGACATGGCTGCTTGTAATAACGTGACAACCCTTCAGACTCTGCTTATTTGACCTCATCTGCCCGTCTGAGAATTACTTGCTGGTCCGAATGAGATAGAAAATGTGTTCCGACAGTAAACCAATGAGACTGTTACTCTCTGTTATTGATCATTACTCATAAGCTGTTCTCCATCCATATCATGACTCAGTGGTCCTACATACAAATCTTTCACTGCCTTGTGCCAGCTCATGCTAACAACAGGATATTATTGTGTTTGGACTGCGTGCCACATTATGTGATGACCACAGCTTCTATGCAAATGTAGGAGGACGGATTAGATGGTAATTTGTTTATGTGCAACTGCTAGAACAAAGACAACAGCACTGATTCACTTTCGCTCTGCCTGTTTGTCTCTCTCTCTTTTATTCCTCTACTTGTTTTGTTGTTTTACTCCCCACACACCGTATACCTCCAGGTTTCATATTACTCACTGCTTCTTATTCCCTGTTCTTCCCGGGCCCCACAAGCCCAACCAGTCCGCATACTGTCTCCACTTTGAATGCATATTCCAATAAGGGCTTTATGTTTTGTCACAACATGATTAATGCAGGTTTTGCAAAAGGCAATCACTGCCAGCAGAAGGGCATAGCCACACACGAGGTAATCACAACAGACCACTGCTCGAGCTGCTGCACCCGCTCCGCCACTTGCCCTCGTGCAGACAGAGAGCACCGCAAAATAGATTTGTAAAAAGGTCATTGGAATAAATTGCCTCTTAGGTACAGTAAAATGTGTTTCTATGTGTCCTCCGACAACTTAAACTGCCTTTCAAGTCATTGAGCCGTTTCAGTGTCATATTCATTGTTTATGACCTTTATGATAAATAAGAAAATGATGGGTGTTTTCACGTTGCTGCAACCACATGATATTCAGATAAGATATTTGTGGGAAACAGATAAGACGTTGAAATCCAGCTTGATTTAATGTTGTGAATTATTGGCTATAATGCTTTTTGAAAAGGAATCTGTTTCAAAAATGCTTAAAAAAGCAACAGTTAAATCGATCCCTAATCTCCAAATCCTATGCCACGTTCACATTATATGGGACGGAGGGTAAAGATGGTAGAACTTCCCATTTCTCTGATTTGTGAGCATACTCAACATAAAACAGCTCAAGACAGTTTATTATGTAATTGACCTTTCGCTAAGTCCTGCCCGTGGAACACAGACCAGCCAATCATAGCGTAGTATTGTCCAGCTCCGACCAGGGTCTGACAACTAGGGCTCTGCTCCAAAGACTCTCATGCAATCGTTTCAGATTTCCTTCATTTTCAGGTTGGTTTTGTGGATTTAGAGCTAGTCGTGGTTCAACGTTGTGTCATGATCCATGTTAGCCGGATAGGGTTGAAGGAGATGTGCGTTTCTAAAATGTTACATTTCTATGTAAAAACCTGTAGATTTAGCATTAACAAAGCACCTTGCAATACATTAACTAGTGTTAGAACTTCTATGCTACGTTAGCTACTGAAGGTACACTAGATGTCGACACACAAATTTTTTCTTTCAAAAAGTAGATAATATTCATGCAGGAAGTGCAGTTAGTTACAGTGTGTTCTCCAATGGTAGCTCGGAGAGCTTGACGGAGTAGCAGCGGGGGATGGGGCGTAGCGAAGGGTCAATGGGATTGCATGTAATTATATTTGGTCATGTACTG